CCCCAAAACCCCAAAACCCCAAAAACCCCAAAACCCCAAATTCTTAAAAAGATTATTATAAGGAATTAAGAATATTATATTTTGTTTAAATGAAAGTAGAAAATTATAGACTTTAGACTCCTAATATCAAAGCAAGTCTACTTAAGAATATTCCTGCAAAAGATACTCACTTATTTGATTGTCCAATACCCAACTATAAGCCAGCCCCCAAGAAGATAGCTGAATCAAAGGAATAGATATTTGGATTTTATAATGGCAATTCTTTGAATACTAAAAGCTCAATTTCCAAAAGTAAAGCTTAAGAAATAGAAAATACCATTCATCAGTTTCATTAGATAACTTAGGTCTAAAGAAATTCTAAAAGTCCAGATAGGTCAAGGTCTCCTTTGAAAAATTCTCCCTAAAAATACAATTAGGCAATAACTTTACTGTCTAAAACTTACAAGCAAACTTAAGTTACATCTTAAGGTGATGAAAAATTAAACTTTGGAATAAACACTGTGAAATAATCAAAAATTTAAGAATTGTAAAATATTTAGAAATCAAAAGCTCCGAAATTGCAAAGACCCAAAACAGCTACAACTAAGAGTAAATAGAAAAAATAAAAGCTGAAGACATAGGAGGAGTTAGAAGATTAAAATGCAGAGCCCTTTGGAGAAATAATTCAAGAAAAAAAAACATAACTTATTCCCATTATTGACAAAAATGATTTTAAATATTTTAAGCCCTGGATTATTGAACCAACTAAGCCTTTACCTTAGTGGGCTGAAGATATGCAGGATAAGCCATTAAGTGCTATTTTAGAAAAAGATCTAAAAATTCTAAATCAAACCAATGAGCTTCATAAGAAATAGATTGAGTTCAATCCAGACTCATTGTCTGCTATATTTGATCCTAGCTAATGGATTGTAAATGATGTAGTTCTTAGAAGAGCAGGTGCTTTGCCCTAGTAAAAAGCAGCTAATGAGAGCAAGACAGATCACTCTAAAAGATTAGCTGAGATTTATACTAAGTTCTTAGATACGTATGACTAATATAAAGATAAGATTAATTTTGAAGAAGGAATAGATGAACCATTTGACCCAAGATAAGCTCGAGAAAGAATACAAAAAAGACTTGAAAAGTAGGTAGTTGAATAAAAAATTTAATCATAGGAAGTAACTCTAAAAATTTTAAATGAGAATCAGGATTTGTAAGATGACATTTAGTCTTAAATTCATGGAGCTGAATCTGAATTTGTTGTAGAATCTGATGATGACTTTGACTTTGAGAGTTAATAAGTAAATGGCACTGAGTCGTACTAAATGGAATGTATATTCACTATTTAAGTATATTCATATTTTAGTGGATGAGGTTGAAAAAATCCCCAAAAAACTCAGAGAGGAGCTAGAAATAACTGAAATTATAATTGAAAGAAATACCTAAGAGGCAAGAATATAAAATGAGCAACTATAAAAGAAGTTAGATGCTTAAAGATTTTTAGATGAGGAAAATAAAAAGATAGAAGACGAAGAAATTCGCTAATCTCTAATGAGTGATTTTGCCAAGGTAAGAATTATGTGAAATATATAACTCTATCGTAGTAATTAGAGTAATTGGTCAAAATAGAATTTGATAAGGCTAAACCTTTAATTGCTCTTGATCTAGTTTATGAAGAAGAAAAATAAAAGAAAGAAAAAAAAGATTAAGAGTTGAGGATACTTCAAGAGGAAGAAGCAAACAGATAGAAGAAAACAAGTGCGTTTGAGTTCTAATAACAAAAAAGAGATAGATAGCAGAATAGAATAAATAAAATTTTAGGGGTAAAAGGTGGTAAAACTAGCACAAGGTTAGATGCCTAACTTGATAATTGGATATCAAATTTTGATAAGAAACTAAAGGACGAAGAAACCTTGACAAAGGCACTTGCTAATAATCATTTGGAAAATTAAAAAGAACTAAAAGAAACACTTAGAGAATTTGAAGATGCTTTAAAATACTATGAAAATATTGAGCAGTATGATAAAGATATGAAGAAATATATGAGAAAGTTAGAATTAATTGAAGAAAGAGACAAAAATTAGATTAACTCACCTCCCTAGGACAGTGAATAGCAATTTAATTTTGTAGGTCAAAAACCTGCAAAGGAGAAGAATCTGTCTTAAAAAGTCTCATAAAAAATAAATGTAGACATTTCCTCTATTCTGAGTCAAAATGCTTTTAAGAACTTAAAGTCTCCTTAGAGCAACACACTTTCACAGAGAACTTTGGTATTTTAAAGAGTCAGTACTTAGAAAATATCTAGTGAATAAGATTATGGTGATTAGATTGATGAGGCTAGGTAGGATATGGATAGTCCTTTCGTTTTAACGCCTACAAGATTGCAGAAAATATCCATTCCCTTAGAGATATATTAAGGTGAAGAGAACGATATTTAAAATTATAATGATGATTTTGAATGATTTAAATATTTTATCAATCTGCTTTTAGATTTTATAATTTGGGGTTTTGGGGTTTTGGGGTTTTGGGGTTTTGGGG